CTTTTCTCTATCTTTACAGAAATAAATCACTGTCTCTCATCGGCGCCAGACAGCAAACTTTGGCACTGAAGCTTTCATTCAATCATTCATAAACATCCACATTATTAGACTGTAATGTGATATTTCCTTCAGAACTTCCTCATTCTCCTGGTGAGAGCAGCAGACAAGAGAAGGCAGCTCTGTGAGGCGTGTCATCCATTTCCCATCATGCAATGATATGTGTGTGTGTGTGTGTGTGTGTGTGTGTTCGTGTAGGTGACGGAGGACGGGGGAGGAGCTTGACTGGAACTGAGAAGTTTGGTTCTGTTGTGTTTTGCCCTGGCTTTGTTCCAGGGCAGAAATGCTCTGACCGAACATGCATGATTCTAAGGTAGACTCACTAATGACAAATAACTTTGGAATCCCTTTTTACTCCAGCTCAGTGTTGAATGCAGGTAACGAGATAATGATATTGTTGTGCTAAAGGTTTATATGCTCTGGCCAGGAGCCAGAAATCTAACTCATGTTAAACACAAAAGCACATATAGATATGCCATATACTGGAAAATAAGTAGGAGTATATTAGGATTATACAGCAACTGCATCACTGTGGTCATTTCAACCCAACTTCTTGTTTTTGATCGATATGCTTTGCAAATATCAGTTGATGTTATAGCGTTGGTGGTTATTATTTTCATCTTTTTCATTAGTTCCAGGAAGGTAGAACAAACAAACGTCACTTATTTAATTCACTGACATCTGCTCAAGTATTTCCCCTCAGATCTGTGCGATTATTAGGCTACCTCATGATGGTAGTTATGACAACATCAGGTTTTTGATATGATCAAAGGAACTCTATTGATACATTAACCGTTGCCCTAATTAACATGCATAACAGTAAACATGTTCTAATGACGACTAACTTATTAAAATCCTACCAAAATGCTTGTGCTTTCCCTGCATATGACTGAATTGTTTCTGTTTAGGAGCTGCATTGTGGTTTGCTACGGATAGACAGACAGGAAGCCACAATTTTAAACGGCATTATCTTCCAGATAAGACCATATGATGAGTCTGTCTTCAAGTGTGTCCTGTATTCACAGGTGTTGACGTCTCGATGAGGAAAGCAGCTCTTGTTGTCTCTGGTTCACACTGGGTATAAACCACATAATTTCAAGAAATGTTGTGAGCATTATTGGAATATAGAATACGATTATTATAAACTCCATGTATTGACGTATAAATGTTTACCTGAATGACTTAAGGCCTACGATTGTTCCTGTTCCTGTACAAGATTCAAAAGCATTTTTCTTTGAAGCTTAAGTTTCTCTTGCACCAGTTAAAGGGGTGGTTGATTGATTTAACTTTTTTAACTTTAGTTAGTGTGTAATGATGCTGTTTGAGCATAAACAGCATCTGTAAAACAAAGGGAGATATTTTCTTTTACAGAAATCGCTTTTTAAGGACTACAACAAACGGCTGGTAGGGACTACAATGAGCTTCTTCACGGGTTAGTGACGTCACTAACCCTAAAATTTACATAAAACCCACCCCTGGGAATGCGATTTATTAATTATCATGACAGAATATGCTAATCAATGACTAGAAGATAGTTAACTCCACAACATAAATTCATCAACTAACCATTCAGAAATGTCCTGTTGCATTCTACATGTTGTCACTTCTTTTTGAGTCTCTCCATCTTTGTCCAGCTCCGATTTGAACATAAAAGGCTAAAAGTTTTTGAAATTTTCAGTGCATGTCTGTGAGGTAATTGAAGAAGCTAACACACAAGCTGTTGAAGCTTTGCCCTCTGTTCTGGGAACAGCAGCTCATTTGCATTTAAAGGGACACACGCAAAAATGGAGACAATTTTGATATGCTATAAAGCAGGGGCGTCGCTAGGCCCTTTTTAGGGGGGCTAAACTTCTGCCTAGCCCCCCTAAAAATGTGAGATTAATGTAGGCTACACAAATTCGTGTTCGCTTCAGTCTTGTTATAATCAGATTCAGCGTGTTCTTCATCTTCAATCCACAGTGGCGCCGAGCAGAGAGCACGTCAGAAACAGAGGACAGGGTGTGTGTGTTCATGTGTGTGTTCATTTGAGCCTCATTGGTCTGTCACTGCTCGTCAATGTCAGAATATTTGAGATGACCAATCAAATCAAAGTAGGCGGGCTTTATGTTCACAGACGCTGCTGAGCGCGAATTTTAACAGTGACTCGACGCGTACGGTCAAGTGCGAGATAAGATGTAAGAAGCTAAACTTAACATTTCATATTTTACTTTTTTTTAGATCATAAATGTTAAACGAATGACAAAAAATAATCAGGCAAACTAATATAGTTTTGTCTAATTTCGCCATTTTGAACTGAAAATAGGCCTGTAACGTGACTCATGTAATGTAATAATTAGTTAACAAGAAACATTAACAAAGCCGTTTTCATCATGTTAGGCACAAGATAATAATGAATGTGTACATATTGAGAATATAATACAAATTGTAGCCTTTAATAAATTAAAAAAGCTCAGCTTTAGGAGGGGAAGAGAAAGGGATGAAGAGACTGAGAAAAAAGAAAGAGTGATGGAGATGAGAAGAGAGCAGGTATTGACAAATAATCTACTGCCCACTGACATGGTTTTAAAGCTATTTCTTATCCTTTTTTTGGTCTTCAAACGTCTTGAAATGCACATATCAGAGAAATAAAAAATTTGAACCCCCTATACCACCTCAAATTTAGGACCTCTGTGATTATAAAGCCCTGTCTACGGCCCTGTATTAGGCATAAGATCAATAATGAATGTGTAGCCTACATATTGTGAATGCATTTAATAAACTTAAGTAGCTTTCAGTAAATAAACGCGTCTGAGAAAATGATTCATAGGCAAAATCCACCTATCAGTTGACCCTATGTTTACTTTCTTCACTGACAGACAAAAATGAAAAGCCTATATCAGTCACAGCTCAGCTGGGCAAGATAAAAACAAAGAGAAAAAGAGTGTGATGCTGATGAGGAGAGAAAAATAATCAGCTGCCCACTATCCAAGTTTTTTGGCCTTCAGAACATCTTAAAATGCACATATGTAGATCAGAGAAATCAAAATTTTCTCGGGGAGACCCCGAACCCCCCTATTTACCCTGCCTCGCACTACCTTTGTGTTACCTTTTTTTTAATAATTTTTAAAAAAAGTAATATTGGGGGCTTAGCCCCCCTAAAAAGAAAATCCTAGGGACGCCCCTGCTATAAAGTATAAACAATTATCTGTGTGAGGTATTTTGAGCTAAAACTTCCCATACACACTCTGGGCACATCAGAGACTTATTTTACATATTATAAAAAGGGCATTATAGGACCCCTTTAATCACACTGTTTTATGGACGTAATTCGTCCATTTGGCTATTGTTATTGCTGAAGGATGTCTAGTTTTTTGTGCTTTTAGGTTCATTTAAGTTTATTTAGCATGTGTGGATGTTATATATAAAATACAAAATAACCTGCTTATTAATTTGACATTCATTCCAAATTAAATCAAATTATAAAACAGATGTTACTTTATTACCTAAATTTTATATTCTGGTTTCACCAAAATATTAAACAGCACTGTTTTCAACATTGATAAAAAAAAATGTTTCTTGAGCAGATAATTAGCATATTAGAATGATTTCTGAAGGATCATGTGACACTGACGACTGAGTAATGATGCTGAAAATTCAACTTGCCATAACAGGAATAAATTACATTTTAAAGTACATTTAAAATAGAAAACAGTTAGTTTAAATAGTAATTATATTTCTCAGTATGATTGATTTTTCTCTGTTTTTGATCATAAGAAACCTTTCAGAAACCAATACTAACCCCAAACGTTTGAATGGAAGTCAGGTGGTAGGGTGGTGGTCATTTTTTTTTATTTTTACCCCTGTTGCTCATTTCTAATTTATTATCAATTAAGTCATTCTAATAGTTTTACTGATGTTGTTTGAGTTACAGTTACAAATCATGCCCTGTATATGCAATGCCAATATCCCTGTATATATGCAAAATATAAAAACCATCATCATTATTTTGTAATCAAACAGTACTGAAATGACATAAAAAGAGAAACAAAAAGTAAAAGACTATATTTCCAAATTGTGGAAATAAACAAAAAAATTCCCATGTTTCAAAATCAATGGAGTAACTCATCAACATAACGTGTTTCTATTAGGGATGCACCGATGTGAACATTTTGGCAGATAACCAATTATTCTTTTTAGTTGAAACCAAAGACACAATGACTGCTTTATTGGTTTTCATATTCTCATTGTTAGGAGCTTATGTCGGTTGCATCACCACTGCATGTCAGATTGAGAAATACGAAAGCTGGACTGGACATATTCGTATCTAAAGGCCCCTCTAAGAAAACAAATATGTAGACCCAAATTAGAGTTTATTATTTTATTTACCTGAACTTTGGAATGTGAAACAGAAACATATGCAATCAAATGAATGAAAACAAACATGTGTCTTCTCCATATAACAGTAATGTAGCCACAATTCAGCTCAGAATGTAGCAAATACAAAAACAAAATCAATGTTCAGTAGTATAAACTTTAATTTTATAAAAATACAAAAAATCCACAGAAAATGTGATGTAAAAGCAAATAAAGTAAAAACAGAACGAGACATTGGTAGTAGTTTTCTAAAGCCATAATATCACTTTCGAGTTACCAATGAAAGACCTTGTTTTAACAATTTGAGAACCTTGGATAAGAAGCATGTTTAAAATGACATAGCCATTACCCAGGGAGAATTCCCTGCTAGTTCCCACGTTAAGGAACACAATTACCCTGCCATACTTAAGCGTTTGTGGACAAATGGTCCCAAACTTTTCCAATATGGCCATCAGACTGTTATACATAAATGTTTCATCAAATCTCACTGCTTTACCAAATTGGCAGAAGCATCTTACATTATTTCCAGGACAACGAACTCTTCTGATCTTCAGAAAAATACATTCAGTGAACATGAATCCGAGCCTTTGTTTAAAAAACAAAATCATGAACATGTCGAAGACTTATGGAATTCAAAGCTATTCTGGGAAGTACTGCCAGGTAAAAGATTCAAGATGGCTCTCCTGCCCCATGCCGCTGGAAGGGTACGGTATCTGCGAGACCATCTGATTGGGCCCACTGGCCTCCATCTGTCTCATGGTCTCCGGAGTACTTCCATTGGGGTTGGGGCAGTTCAGGAGGGCGGTGAAGGACTGCACACAGTCTGAAGACGAGGTGCAGGCGGGCCCAAGCGCAGCAATGTTGCTCGGCCCTTGAGTTTCCTGTTTCAAGTGGTGGTTGACCATGAGGTTTTGAAAGAACTCTTCGTCTAAGCTGCTTGGATACGAGTACCCCGTTCCTAGTGACCCACTGGTGCCTGTTGCTCCGTTCTGTGTGCTTTGAGGCTGTTGGGAGACATAGTTAAACCAGGTATGGGCTCCTTCCAGTCCTTGTCTTTGAGATGGCTGCTGGGATTGCTGGACCTGCTGGCTTGGTTGGTCCTGTCGAGGCTGGCTGCTGGTTGGGCCATTGGGTTGAAGAAACTCCAGATCCAAAGAAGTCAGTAAGGGGAGGCTGTTTCCACTTTCTCCTGTGGTCGGCATGCTGGGACTTGGGTTGACCTGCTGTAGGCCCACCCCATTACTAGCTCCGTTGCTGTTGAGTTGACTGGGCCATGGTTGACTGAGGGTACCTTGCGTTGCGGTTTCTGATAGGGGTGGCGGCATTGGGCAGGACGAAGGGGCTTTGTTATAATAGACTGACTGATTTGGGCGCACCCCCCCATGGTTGGAAGGACGATAATAATTTGGTGTCTCTGTGAAAAGAGTATGTGTTAAATAATTATTTTGTCTGTATAAAGAAAATCTTCATGTATTATTTATTATGGGCTACATGGAAAGTGACATGAGTCTTACCGATTTTGATTCTCTGACTTATTAGGTTGGCTGAAGGCACGGCTTTTGGTCTGTTCATGAAGCTCATGGCTCCTTGAGAGAAGCTAGAGAAGGATTTCATCTGGCTTTCAATTTTACGTTTCTTCTCTTGACAGCCATATGGATCTGAAAAAAAAATTATGCTCATTTTTTTGTCTGCCAAATCGACCAACACAATCATTTGCTGCAATCAACATGCAGAAAAAAAATGGTATCATGATCTATTTATGACAAGGCAAGGTTAGTTCAGGTTGTGCAATGTCATGTGGGGCAACTTCTCAAAAATGGTATTTATGAATCCATAATTCATGTTAAACCAGAATTTAAAAATATTTTCCCATCTCTTTATCAGATACTCTTAATTGTCATTGGCCCACTTGTAACAACAAAGAAGACATGGGCCAAAATCAAACAATCCATGATGTGGGTACCATGACACTGTAGGCTGATGTTTTTACCTTTGTCGTCGGGCAGGAATCTGAACTCCATGGGCTCACTGACCTCCTGGTCTGTGGGACGACGCAGCTGCATGCGCACTGTGACCGGGGCTGTGATGGTGGTGTCACAGTAGGCGGGTGTCTTGAACACTATGGCCACTTGCCTGTGTACGTCTGCCTGAGAGAAAGCGCCTTTGGCCTCCCAGGTCTGAGTGAAGAACCTCACCTCAATGTCATCTAGAATGAGGTGATGTTATGGTGTGAGAAAGGGGTTAAACGAAAGAATGGCAAAAAATAACTGGCGATGGAAATGGAAAGATGGGTTTCAATAAAATAAATGATAAACATAAAATAAAAGGATGATGAAGAGAAAAGGACACATGAGACTGTTTGAATGAATGACTTAATAAATACCTAAATTAATTTCAGCTTTCAATTTTCTTTAATAAAGGTGCTGTAAGCTATTTTTTGAAGGGAATATAATGCACAAAATGTAAATATCTACAAATCTCACTAGCCTCTGTGACAGATTGGTGAGTTTGTAAAACGGATTTTTTTTTTTTTTTTTGCCGTTCAGAAGAGGTCTTGTCAATCATTCTGACTGTTTGGGTTTGCTGTGTGATTTAAGGGATGAGGGTGTTCTGATTCTAGTTGGCGAAACAGCTGCAATTGCTTAAAGCACCTTGAAGTGTTCTAAAGATTTAAAACGGTCCCGTACCTTTCTGCACTTTATCGCAGAGGAGGAAAATCTCATCGCCTCCCTTCACACTGCCACTGTTCTTGTTGACCCGGCAGATTCGCAGTTCGGCCGTGTTCGGGGCCCCTGAAAAAAGAACAGGGCACTGAGATTGAAGATTTGAAAAACCAAGTAGAACAATCTTGAAACACAGACATGCGCTGCTATTAGCAGTAGGAAATAATCTCTCATATTCTTTGACTTTATCTGAGTATCTGCAGGCACAGCCACACTTGCAAACATTATGTGCAGAGACTAAAAAAAGCAGTCAAACCTGTCATGATTTAGACAGTGAGGGCGAGGTTGTTTATTGCTTCCTCTTTTCTGTGGCTGAATTCATATTTATGGTTAGATTTAACGGCTGACTTATTAGTACTGGCTGCAAATATATCAAATATTTCAGGTCAAACATACCTACATATGCTTTTTTTGAAACAGCTACATGTTTTCAAGCTCGCTTTTCTAAAAATAAGTCTACTTGACTGCATTGTCATGAGAACAACATGAAAGACTTGAGAATCAGCCTTTGCAAGCAGATGAACGAATTGTAACCCATTAACCAAGCCATGGCAAGAGCTTTTTTTATCCGCTCTGACTTATTTAGAATCGCACAACCGCACAAAAACACTCTGCAAGCACTGCTGTTTTGCTCGCCCTGTACACAACTATCACGTGAGGAAGTGTTGAAATGGACCGTGCTCACTTCCTGCAGTGAGGGATGTGGCCACTGACAGCTCTCTGTCACCTTAGCAATGCATTCCCACAGCTATATCTTCATGCATGTGACAGTAACTTGCATCATGTCAAACAGCTAGTCAAAACTGTTTCGCCGAACCACTTTCTTTTAAATCTAAAATATAGCAGATACTGAAAACCAATACCTGTATTAAATGCAAAAGTTTTGTTTTCTCTGTACAAAATGTAATTATTAATATCCAAAGCAAAAATAGGCCCATTTGTTTTTTAATTAAATTTGTTAAATTATTGTTCTATATCATGTTCTTTAATTAATCTAATGTCCATACTTTAAACTTATATAAAACTCCACAAAAACCTTTTAGCTTATAATAAATGTCACATATAGCTTGGAGTGGAGTGAAATTTAAATGAATAAAAAATACTATCATTATTTTATTACAGTAAAAAAATACTGTAATCTTTTTATTTATTTATTTAAATCAACAAACTAAAAACTAAATATATACATAAAATGTTAAAACTAAATAGCTTTTCTCATACACATTTGCTAAGAAAGTTGTTTTTTGCCACATCGTTTTTAAAAACATATGTTGTAAATAAAATATTATATCAAATAATAATGAAAATAAAATATGTTCAAGCTAAATAAATATGAAAATCATCAGAAAACAAAAACCTCCTTCTTCTCAATCCAACATTGTTATTGAAATCAACTTCCTCATCCCTATTGAAGTGTAATTCTGTGTGACTAGTGGCATCAAACACAACCCAGGTCTTCCACTGAACAAAAAACAGGTTTCCCCGCCCCAAATTCACATCACTGGCTGAGTCAAAGTTATGTTGTCAAACAAACAGTTTCAAAGTTTGTTGCCATGCAGAAATGACACTTCACATTTAATGCCGTGTGCTTCTTATTTGTGCCAACTCACTGTTGTCATAGATGGGGTTGGAGACGATGGGAGGCAGCATGGTGTTGTACATCCCGGTCTCATCTTGCAGGTAAATTTGGAAGCATAGACGCACCACGTTCAGATCATACTCCTCAGTCTGTAGCAGCAGTTCCCGGCCAACTGTGGACACAAAACCAACGTTCAACAATTGCAAAACAAACATATCAACACATTAATCATAGGTGTGTAATTTGTGTCAAAACTAAACAGGAGATATTCAGAGAGTCATGTGAATGAGGTAAAGAAGCGGAAGAGGGAGAAGAAAATGAAACGGGCACGAGAATGAAAACCAGGTCAGTTTGTTTAAAACTAGCTGACACACTTGTGATATGTTTTTAGAAATGTTTTTTCTCCATGATAATAAAGCATGCTTACCATAATCCTCATTACCAAAAACTTTAATGCAACAAAATAAATAGTGGTTTATTTACATTTATTTATATCATTATTATGGTGTTTTTTGCATTGTCATCAGTTTGAAGATTTAAATAAACTAAATAATATATTACAGTGTGTTATCATTTTTACAGTATTTTGAAGTAATTTGTGCAAAATACATACATATTTATAATAACCCATGCACCAAGAGAGACAAAACACTGTGTAGCCAGCCACTTGTGATCAGATTTTGATGTATATTTAGTAGGCTCCAGTCTACTAAATAAGCATGATATATTATTTGAACATAGTAAAGTTGATTTATTTATGTTGCTTTTTTGCATTGCCTTTAGTTTGATGATTTAAATAAATGAAAAAATATAACAGTATTTGTTTTTGGTAAATTATAGTAATTTATACAAAATATATACATATTTATAATAAAAAATAAGTCATTTATATAGTCATTAGTAAAAAAACAAAGGGTCTAATTTTCCGCACCCACTCTGAGCTGACAATCTGAGGCTCTATATATTGTGTATTCTACATACCAAACACAGTGTGGCCGCTTGCGAGAGCCTCTATATTTAGTTGCATCCACTTCGGACCAACCGCAAAGCATCTTAATATAAAGCGTAAAAAGAAAAGCAAGCGGCATGTAGTGCTCTTGCAGTGTCTACACAGCAGCATCACCACCAGAAATGCCACTGACACATCACCCTATAAGCACACAACCACCCACACGAGTGCATGTGTAGACATTTCTCTGTGTGCATCTCCACTCTCCACCCACTCTTCACTCTCAGGAGTCTGTCTCTTTTCACCCCGCGGCTATCCCGCCCACAGCCGTGACGAGCTTTGAGCGCTCTGAGGTCACAGCAGGTGGAAACATCGCAGCGGGTTAGAAAGGGCTCGAGCGACAGAGTATCGGTGACGACTCTGTAGTGAGGGGGACGACCCCCTGACGTGAAGAGACACCTCTGTGCACACCACAGGCCCAGAAGTGGGAAAGAAAGATGGAGATGGAAGCCGAGCAAGTGAGGAGCACAGCAGACAGATGTAAAACAGACAAGATGTACAGCGAAGGAACAGAGATAAAGTGGGAGGAGATGAGTGGGTGCGGAAGATAGCGAGAGGTGGAGTGTGAGAAAGGCAACTGCGAGCAGTGGTGTGGTCATGTTTATTTGCGTATATGTGGGCCTCTGGTTCTGCGTTCAGGGGAGTCAGAGAGCAAGAGGAACGAGTGGACAGCAGTTGCAGGTGGGGGATGATTTAGGTTAGCGTGGGCTGGTGGAAGGTGAAGCAGAGGGTGAGAGCTGGAGAGTGAGAAATGGGGGCAGGGAGGTGAAGATTCTCCATTCTGTGGGTATAACACCATTCCCAAGCCCGACACTCATCTCTCGCCACCTGTGCCCACCGTCTGCGATATCTAACACCATATTGAGCAGAACGCCTACTCAGTAACCATCATGGCAAAATCTGCTATGGGCAACCTCACTTTTTTTTCCGCACCATGACAAATGCCTGCTAATTTAACTAATTGTGAATTAGTGTGATCTTGATATTCTAGTCACATATTACCGACCAAATAAGAGAATTGTAAGCAAACGTCGAAATGTTCAAATGCACATATTGATGCAGAATTTGAACGCTCAGACCAAACGACAGAATAAATAAGGTTAATAACATGAACATGTAGCGCTCTGGATTCAATGGCAAATATTTTTGGATGTTACAGTTTGGACCAACATTGGCACATTACATTACATTATATTGTCTGAATAAGAATGGTAAGGTATAAATGGAAGGAGAAATATTTATATCATATATAATAATATTTTCTCGATTTTTAGTACATTTGAAAATATCATATAAGTCATTAAAGCCTATAAGGAAATATTATATTTTAAAGAAGTCCAATGTGAATAAATTATTTCCTGTTACATTTTCAAAGTTGTAAACAAAACAAATTATTGGAGTATGTTTTACAAGAAAATACTAGTCTTTCTACTTCAAAATTTCACAGTTAAATTCAATGTGTTACTTGCAGTTTCTTTGTGATTGTTTGTGAAATTTACTAGCAATTTCTGAGTGAAAACTGTTTCAAATTAAATCATTCACCAAATGATTTTCAGTGTATGAGTATTAAGCAGAAAATGAAACAATTACATCATTAATCTCTATTACTGGTATGACAATTCACCATCAGCGACACTTTCATGTTTGTGACAGCCCCAATCGCAAAATGAATACCTCGCCGCAAAAACAGTCTATTACCTACTCAATAATAGAAATGAATGACAATATATACTGTATATGCATGCGTCATCATTGAAATCATAGTGGGATAACGTCAGTGCAGATGAGGTCATCGCTATAGCAGGTCATCCCTTCAACACAAGACCAAACTTCAAAAGTAATATCAAAACTCATCACACTACGACTGCCACCATGACTAATCAACATCATTTCAGGGGACTGTTAGTGTTATGCAGCCAAAGAAGGAGATCTTTATATGGTTATCACAGCAGAAGTGAGAGCATTGCCTCAAACAGCCCGTCACCACAGAGAGCAGCGGAACATGCATGCGGAAGCAAACACCGATCCGAAGTCACAATCTCATATTCCCTTTGTGACGACCGGTTGCAAACACTTTCAGAATTTCTCAAATATTGTTTGGGTAGACAGTGGAATTAAACTACATATTGATTCTATACCAAACTGCTAACATAATGTGACATGATTGTTGAGTCAATTTATATATAAAAGAATATCATCATAACCGCATTTCAAAGTACAATCAAATCAACCAAGTCATTTCCAACAGATACTCTTTAGGTCAACTACTATGTACTTCCAGTGGTTTCGGGGGCTCTGAACCCTTGAAGGGGATCTTTATAGAGACTTAACACTTTTAATTCAAATGTTTCAGTGACCACAAAAGCTACAATACAATGCTGACGGTGCCAAAGAAAATTACCTAGAGAAGTTGCTTTAAATATGTCGACCCTGTTATAATTTCCTCCCACACAATAGTTTGCATGGAATTCCTGAAATATTTGGCTGTTTGCATACTCGAGGCAGAGTAATTCAAAGGTATCTGTTACACAAAAACGTATAGTTTACAGTTCCTCTTGACATTCCTCCCTATCTGAATAAGTTCCCCCTGATCATATGCCGCTCAATACCGCAGCCAGTTTTGTAACATCTTCACTAAATAAAGAGAAGTGATTCTTTTTCAACTCTACCTGCATTGTCAGATGCTAGTTTGTGTCATACAGTATTGAAGGAAGGAAAGAGAGAAATGTGTGAGCATTTGTGTTTTTAACAGCGTGATGTTGTTGACCATCACCTAAACACTGTTCGTCAAAGAAACAGGCTCAGTAATAATGATAAGACTTTTTAACATAAAAAGGGTGATTAGAAGGCCCAGATGGAATCTACTTTTTTTTAAATGAATTTCCCCTCAATTCAGGGAAAATTTGCAGAATTTTCTGCATGTGCAGACTCTATTTGGGCCTGGAGAGAAAACATGGTGTTGGATCTCACCACTGAAGGGGTTGATTCCTCGTGTAACCCTCTGCATTATAGCATCTCTCACTTCTCTTCTCCGCACGCACTGGATGCCCAGGTTCTGGAAACTAGGAAAAAACAATAAACAATCTGTTAAATTGTGTAGTCTGATTTTCAATGCCCAGATTTGTTTAGTTAAATGTATTGTCCATCTTGAACTCTGATCCCAAAGACTAAAGCTTACAGGAAGAGTGAGGTTAGAATTAACCATACTGACATCCTATTTAAAATTGAGGGCAGACTGGAGCTCTAAGGCTCTCATTTTCATACTGGGGGAATCCCCTGCATGGCTCCCTACTCTGAAACAACATGTTTCTTTAAAAAAAAAATACAAAGAAGAAGAATGGACAGCCCTTCGGAAGAGAACTGTGGTAGTGTGTGGGCTGGAGGAATACGGAAAGCACATTGGAATGGCTTTGATATGGGACACAGAGATGTTTCATTTCATTAAGAGGAAAATAGTAACAGGACCCAACGAGATTAGAGCAAAGCATGCAGATAATATTAAATAGAGCTGACAAATCGATTAATCGCGATTAATTGCATCTGACATACAAGTTTGTCTTTATGCAATATGTGTGTGTGTGTGTGCATGTCTGTGTGTATATAGATATAAACACATACATATATTTATATATATATATTATGCATACATATATGTGGGTATAAACACAAACTCTTATGTTAGATGCGATTAATCACGATTAATCGATTTGACAGCACTAAATCAAAATGTTTTTAACCTTTTGTTTTCAAGTGACATCAAAATGATTTTGACATTTTAACATTAAAAGCATCAACTTACGCGATGACCCTACGTTCAGGTCCAAACTCTGCCTCGTAATAACCATCCTTACAGTCTTTACCCACTAGGTCATGGGGATGGGGTTTATATGGATCGCTTTTGGTTACCAGCGTAACACGTACTTTTCCTTTCCCGCTAACATTTAGTATCTAATAGAAAATGATAGAAAGAGAGACACAATTTATAAAATCTCTTAGTAAGTAACTAAGTTTAATTATACAGTGAATTTATTCTTCAGTGGTGTAAGCCTTTAAATAAAAGGTACCTGAATGCTTGGGTAGGTTCTGTTATTGTCAGAGCTTCTTTCTCCCGGTATGCTGCCCGCTGATCGACCCTCACATTTGTACCTGAAGCGCATGCCTCTCTGTTTTGGCTGCTCAAAGATCTGAGCACAGGGCTCTCCCACTGCACAGAAACCAGAAAAATGACATCTGTCAGTCTCAGAGATCTGAATATCATTCATTTAAATATTCAAAAATTATTTTACAGACTACAAGCATGTTCAAAATTTGAATTAGTTCTGTGGCACCGGCGGAGTTGTGTCAGGCAGAAATGCCCAGCAGGTATATCTAGGCTACTGTTGATTAAAATGGCAACATTGAAGATGCATAAGAACATGACAATGGGCTCAAAACACCTGCAGAAGAAACATCTTGTGTTTTTCACAGAACCTGACCATAATCTGACCACAAACAACGCAGCCTGCTGGTAAATAATTTCCCGCTCTCTGCACCTGTCAGCACAGACCCTTTACGAGCCCATCCAGGTGCCATTATGCCAGTAAGCATATATACTAATCATAACTTCGTCAGACACCTGCACACACAGCTGGATTTGCCATGCAATATAGATTTGGTTGTTTTTAACACACTTGCTTCTGACACCGACACAAATAGGTGAGATCTATCCGCATAGGCATTCTTACACTGTGAAATATAAAAAAAATAAGCTGGGGAAGATATCAAATCTATGGTTATTATGGATGAAATAGATCCAATGATATAGTGTAGTGAGCAGATGTCACTCACTACTGCCTGCTCATGAGATTTGTCACATACAGGAAGTCATATCTTTTTCACAAAAGAGGAAGTAATGTAAGGAAATCTGAACATTACATCGGTTTTACAAGGGCAACTGGGTGACGTTTGAACATATTTGATGAGTGATTAGTCAGAGTTTATGGTCCACCCTAAACTTAACTCTAAACATGTTACTAGTAACGACAGAATGTGTTTCACAGTTGACACAGATGTTTATATGTAGGCTACTTACTTAGATTGGGATCCCTGTGCATTGAGAGGGGATGCACTATACAAGAAAGCATGGATAGAAGAACATAAATCAATATAGAAAATCAGCTAAATATATATTACAATGCATTTTATATTGAAAAAGAATTAACAACTGTTCAAACGAGAATAAGAGAGCTGAAACAGCTTTTAAAAGTTCCCCATTTTTTTATTTCCTGGTGTTACTTTGTCCCTCATATATTCATGTACTGATTAGTCATTCGATTTGTTTAGTTTACATGATATTTATCTTAAGTTTAGAAGACTTAACTTTAGAATTTTGTTTTCAGGTAATGAAAATCTTCTTTCGCAAGAGCTTTATGTGATTGTACACTTGCACAAATAAAACTCTGCTTTTCATTCCCTATAATATATAAAACTACAAGCCTGTATGTTTCCTTAAATAGATTTTTGATAAAAAAAAAAAAAAACATGGAACATGTTACATTGTAAAGATTACAAATTACCTTGTGAAGATTTACCAACTCAAGACAACAGAAGAAAACAGAGGTATTTTTATTGAGACGGATTATATATAATAAAATTATGAGTTAGCAGATTAAGTATCTTTATTTTACCTGAAAAACTCGACTGTTCCGATTCGACTATCACACAGATATAGACTGGTAGCATAATTGAATTAAACCGCAAAGAGCAAGAAAGGGGAAATAAAAAAGACAGTTACTTGATTAACTTAATGGTACTCACCATCCATATTATGCGAACACCCTTGACTTAGGTTTGCCTTATGTCCGAGCTCTAAAGTGCTGAACAGATATACAGTAGCACTTCAACACAGAAGAGTACTGACTGGGAATTCCCCACTTTATACAATACGCCCGCCCACAGAACAAACACACACGCCCCTCTATGGCAAGCCGGTTTAACATTTGTATAGTTTGTGACTTACTAGTAATAATTTTACAACACAATAATGATTTTATGTTTTCAATTCCTCTAATAACTATTTATTAGTTGCTAGTATGTATTCCTTTGCTACTACTCACTATTTCAATGGTAACAAGTAATTGTTCCATTGTAAATTTCACATTTTGCCTTTATATTTTATGTATTCTGTATTTTATATCTTCTGCTGATAGGCCATTAATTGCAGTTTCACTAATAACTATTTATTATTTATGAATCTTTAGCTATACATTTACGTACAGAGTAGGCCTAATATTAATTAACAACATGTACTTACAATAGGGTTAGTTGCATATAACTATGCATAATTTACTGTTATTACTGCAGCAAGTACATGTGACATAACAAGGACACTGTTAAAATAAAGTGTTACCCTATTTAAAAACAGTTTTCCTACTAGTTGAAGAAGCACTAGTTTCTATTTATTAGACATTTATTAATTAACTTTGTTCTGCAGACGAAGAAAAAAAAAAGAACGACAGTGGCAGTGCTAAAAATAATATTAGCATTCTTTTATATCAATCAACAGAACAAATAAAATGTAGAAAAATAACTTCAGCTGTTTCGGAAGAGGCCTATTGATTGATCCAAATAGTGTAGATAAAGCAATATTCAGAAACAGGTGCAACGAATAAAAAAACAAACAAACAAACAAACAAACAAACAAACAAACAAACAAACACAAAACTTGTAAATAAATTAATTTCTATACAATTTAATAACATAAAATTGGGTGTTCTTCAACTGAAGGCATGCTGTCTTCTTTTGTGTTGACAGCTCCGTTAAATAGCCTATATACTGGAAGCGCTGTAGTTTTGCTACCATATAGCCTATGAAAAGTAAAATACAAGAATGACATTTTAAGTAACTTCTGTTTCTAAACAAAAAAGGCAGTAATTGATGTCATAAATAAATACACAAGCCTGATTTTTGTTTTAATTGTCAGAATGTATCCTATGACGATTAAAAAAATCACAAACATGATGCTTAGCCTAATAATTTAGGCTGTAGCCTATTTTAATGAATAAATAATTCAATAGTAAAATAATATATGCAGTTATATTTTCAAACAAATTATGAAATTAAAGTGGGATGAATCTGGAGCTCTAAAAGAATTTTAGAATCGTTATCTGAAGCTAAAGGCGGCATCCGCAACTGAAGGCACACCGCCCGCACTCCTTTGGTGACGCTTGCTGTAGTAGACCATTAAAAATGTTAAATAGCTAACCAAATAACATGTTTAGCTGCACCTGTCTCTGACTCTGCAATTTTTATAGTTATTTTCAAATATTAGCCTATTAGCACAAACTCTCATTAGGCATATAAAGTGAATTAACGTTCTTTTATTTTGCTCTGGAACCTGACTAAACGGATTTTTTTTTCTTCTAAGAACGAACCGAAATTAAAAAGTGGGAAATCTTCACATACTCTCTTGTACTTATTTTGAATAAGCAATTACTTTCCAACTGCTAAAAAAGTATGTTCTATGTAGTATATAAATGTGTGTAGTACTCACCTAAAGGATTATTAGGAACACTATACTAAAACTGTGTTTGACCCCCTTTCGCCTTCAGAACTGCCTTAATTCTACGTGGCATTGATTCAACAAGGTGCTGAAAGTATTATTTAGAAATGTTGGCCCATATTGATAGGATAGCATCTTGCAGTTGATGGAGATTTGTGGGATGCAGATCCAGGGCACGAAGCTCCCGTTCCACCACATCCCAAAGATGCTCTATTGGGTTGAGATCTGGTGACTGTGGGGGCCATTTTAGTACAGTGAACATATTGTCATGTTCAAGAAAGCAATTTGAAATGATTCGAGCTTTGTGACATGGTGCATTGTCCTGCTGGAAGTAGCCATCAGAGGATGGGTACATGGTGGCCATAAAGGGATGGACATGGTCAGAAACAATGCTCAGGTAGGCCGTGGCATTTAAACGATGCCCAATTGGCACTAAGGGGCCTAAAGTGTGCCAAGAAAACATCCCCCACACCATTACACCACCACCACCAGCCTGCACAGTGGTAACAAGGCATGATGGATCCATGTTCTCATTCTGTTTACGCCAAATTCTGACTCATCTGAATGTCTCAACAGAAATCGAGACTCATCAGACCAGGCAACATTTTTACAGTCTTCAACTGTCCAATTTTGGTGAGCTCTTGCAAATTGTAGCCTCTTTTTCCTATTTGTAGTGGAGATGAGTGGTACCCGGTGGGGTCTTCTGCTGTTGTAGCCCATCCGCCTCAAGGTTGTGCGTGTTGTGGCTTCACAAATGCTTTGCTGCATACCTCGGTTGTAACGCGTGGTTATTTCAGTCAAAGTTGCTCTTCTATCGGCTTGAATCAGTCGGCCCATTCTCCTCTGACCTCTAGCATCAACAAGGCATTTTCGCCCACAGGACTGCCGCATAATGGATATTTTTCCCTTTTCACACCATTCTTTGTAAACCCTAGAAATGGTTGTGCGTGAAAATCTCAGTAATTGAGCAGATTGTGAAATACTCAGACCGGCCCGTCTGGCACCAACAACCATGCCACGCTCAAAATTGCTTAAATCACCTTTCTTTCCCATTCTGACATTCAGTTTGGAGTTCAGGAGATTGTCTTGACCAGGACCACACCCCTAAATGCATTGAAGCAACTGCCATGTGATTGGTTGATTAGATAATTGCATTAATGAGAAATTGAACAGGTGTTCCTAATAATCCTTTAGGTGAGTGTAAATGTAATCTGGAAGTACTACATTCGCCATGTTGTCATTATCATGTGACCTACAAGCGTCAAGTTGTGTTGCTTCACTGCCATTCACAAATCCGTGGCCTCATGGGATAGTAAAGTGTCCATTATGTGCACACTTCAGTATCTTGCTGGAAGGAGGTCATCAAGGTAATTTTTGCCTACTCTTTTATGAGTACAGTGAACTCGGACATATTTAGTCAACAACTGTATTTTTATAGTAGGGAAGTACACGATTTCGGATGCAGCCCTTGTCTGTAGTCCTGCCATTACTTCCGTAATGTAGCTACATCACCCTACATTTGCATAATGTCGCCTGCTTGCTAATTTGGCTTGCCCTAGTTGTAAGGGCATGGAAGTTTATCACTATATCGAGGAACTATTTTTTTCACTGCAGGGGCAAAACATCATTACATGGACTTCCAAAGACTAGACCAGACTATTGGGATGGTGACTAGAAAGAATGAATACTGACTAACTGAAATAATTACTATTGGATTACATATTAAATAGAAAAGTATTAGCAACTAAAAATAGATAGGGTACAACGGGGCTAAAGGCTCTATGGGGTAAAAGGCTCCTTTGATTTTATTTTCCTCTAAACCACTAGATGGCACAAAAACTTGCAGCAGCGCGTTCCAAAACATCATTTGCATGTGGAAATTTGGCTGATACTTGATGCAATCACGGGCAGCAGTGCAAAGTTGATTCTATGTTAATTTGATCTAATATTTGATGTTTTTAAAATGTTGTAGATTTAGAATCGCTAAAATTATTGTATATATTTTGAGACAAAGGTTTTCTTAATGATTTTGGTTAGATTCAGATGGTAAATATCATATATTAAGTTGGGTGTTTATAATGAAACCATATTTAAAAATCTGATATTAATAACATCAAATAACAAAATATGATTTTATGTTACTACTGTAAATCTATATTAAATTATGCAATCTCATTGAATGCTTTCAGAACATTTACTTTAAAAAAAAATTGTGTTTGTATTTTTCAATTAACATTTTAATGACAGTATATTTATTGAACAAAAATGAATTATTTTATCAAAATAAACAGAAAATAGTCTAAACCTTCCTAAAGTGATTATTTTAAACAAGTATTAAATTAGACAAAACATTTTAGTTTTAGCCTATATATTTTTTATAAATAACGTGTGATTTATGATTTTCACACAAATCTGTTGCTCTATAAATGTTCAATAACATTTTTTATTTTCCTGCAATCATGCACTATGGGAATAGTAAAAAGCACTTTTTTTTTCTAAAGGTGTGCCTTTAGCCCCGTTGTTAATATGGCTTGCCATATTATTCAGCGTCTGCTCTGCATCCAATCCAACGAGGGAAGTGCATAGTGCGCAGTCAAATTCAGACAGAAATGAAATGAGAAATGTTAAGGTAACTTGTAATAATTAATGTTTTTACTTTTTCTTGGTTGAAAAGGAAAGTAATTACACACTTTTTTGAAATACCACGAAAATTTTAATTTCACATTACGAGTTTCACTTCAGTAAGTCAGACACTTGGGAGTTTCTTCACTCTTGATGTTCACCTGCATTTTGAATTGAGAGCCGTTTCTATCTCTTTAAGAAACAAGAACCGACTTCTGACAGAAAAACTACATCAGCTCGTTCTGACACTGTTTAGCTCAGTGTGCATTTTTTAAGAGATTGAATGACCAGTATCAGTCTTTAAAATGGACGTCGCTTGTATTTACTAAAAGTTCATGCAACTGATCAACCCATGAAAGGGTAATCCCCTGCACGCAGTGGGAATCTCCCATGAACAAGGACGTTTATTTCCAACAACAGAGAAAGAACAACACTTCGAGAGAATTTACGCTTTGAGTATATATGGGTACATATTTTTTTTGTAATTAACAGTTCAGTTATTCGTAGCTTATTAGTAAATATCCTGTGAGAGTTGTGGTCAACGCCACATGAGTGTTTACAATTTCACTAGTAATAACTACGTCACAGGGATGGCCCATAGGAGGTGACGTCATCGTAAGCTGTGTAAGAAGTTGCAACGTAACCTACACTGCATGTAAAGAACATATCCCGTTTTCTCTTTAAAATCATCGTTGTCATGAACAAGAACGTTTTGGAAAAGTGAAAAAAAAGGAGACAGGAGCCACTTGGGGTTTTGTGAATTTTATGTTCTCAAATGTAAAGGCAGTTTACATTACATACAAAAATACCCTTTCAAATACAACTTTTGCCCTACAAAAGAATATGACAAGTAGATTTTTTTTTAAATTGTCCTAAAGGTAACAGGAAGATTCAAACTGAGCGATGAAATGAATGTCTAGAAGAAAAAGATGTTAAACTGCAATACCTGTGATATAAAAAAATTATAAATGGTACAAATAAATAAAATGTTAAGAAACCCCAAAATGAATAGTAAGTCTATGTTCTCTGTACACCCCAACAGGGCAGGACAGTAGGATGTGGAAAGGAGGGGGGGATGAAGGAGGAAAAATGGAATCTAAATGGAAAGAGGGCAGAAATCTTATTTAGTCTCTGTTCTTAAAGTTCAAGAGACACTGCCATTCAGACCTCCATGGGAGGCGCAGGGGGTGACGCCCTAAACGCAGGAAATTACAATCATGCACATGCACACGCAAAACCAACATGGACTCGTTTATCATTGAGCAAACTTATAATAAAAGCAAACCTGCTTCGAAATGTAGGCCCAACAAACCCATACCTCAGATCTAATACTGTTCTTTTGTTCTGAGCTGATAACGAAACTATGGAGTGGCAGCAGCGTTTGTGACCGGTAATGGGAGTCATGGTTTTGAGTTACTAATGCTGGTCCATATACACACTCGCACACATACGCACCCCACACAAAAGGTCCTCCCAGAAACTGTACCAGAACCTATACAGCCATTACAAAAAGACTGCAAGGAAAACCTTTGGACAAACAAAGAATCTCATTTACAGTGACAAACAGGACAATTTTTTTTTCAACTTTTTTTGTTAATAAAAACTACATTAAGGTGGCATAGAAAGACTAACAATGATTTTTAAAGTTATTTACAAACTAATCTACTGTACAAGTTGTTTCAAAAGCTCAAAGAGATGTCTAAGCAAGCATTCGGACACAGTAAGGCATAAAAAAAAAACTACTTGGGAAGAAAAAAAAATCTATACTTTACACTAACTCTTTAACAAGCAGGAATACCAGCCAAATATCAGTAGCAGTTTAAAAGCAGCACTGCTGTTACACAGGTGTGGTTCCACTCTTTAAGGGAAAACCTGTGTAGACAAATGCTCAAGAAAAGGGGAAAAATAGATTAAAGGGCAAACTCAAGAGTGGCAGCAACAGTAACAATTCATGTCACCTGTAGATAGCTCACTGTTATCGGTTAAGGGTGAGCCTGATTGAATTTTTAATCACACGGAGGTTGCTTGTGGGGATTGGGGAAGATGCATCCGGAAGCTCTTTGCTGGATAGTCTCTGAAAACATAAAAGACTATTAAATTAATTTCAATTTTGACATTAAATTACAATAATAATTGCATGTCAATTACCTGTGACCTTGATGTATCGATTGTTGGTATTGGCATAGGTTTGGTTGCTGCAAGATCCTCCTGTGTCAAAGAGGGGTTTTTTTTTCAGGAAATTTGTTTTTGCACAAACATTGCGTGAGGTCTTATTGTGTTGATGCAAGAAAACAGTTTCAGTTTCAGTGAAATGATCCAATTGTGGTGTACACCTGTGGTTAATGCAATAAACATGAAGAAAAAAAATATATATATATACACACACACTCACTCACCACTGTTTGCGCATCATCACCATCCAAGCCATTGCTAGTTGGAGGGTTTGGTTCTTTAAACGCACAGTCATCAGAAAACACCTGAAGCATATTCATTCACATATTAAGGCATGCTTGAAGTTAAGACTGTATTGGATTTTTCCATTTTTATTAGTGTTCCTCAGAAATGAAGAGGTTGACCATTCATAATGGATTTCTTTTTTTTTGTATGTGCTTTTGAATGGCATAAATTAATGCAAATAAAAAGCTTTGTGAGACCTCTGTATCTTTGTGCCTCTTAGGTGGATCCTCCAGAGATGGAGAGTGAGGTCTCTTTGGTGCTCCATTGACACTGTTGGGCAGGTCAGTTGGGCTAGGGGAGGAAGAGGTAATGCGTGGTATCACACTGCGGCCCACCACTGTAGGAATGGTGTTGCCAGCGGGAGGTGTTGGGGGCTTGGCAACTGGACTGGCGATGGCCTCTGAAAAGAAAAAAAGTACTAAATGAGTGGAATCAAAATGAATTGCAACTTACAAAAACACCAACAAATGCGTTTCCCCATTAGAAAAACAGGAACAAGTCCTTAACAGAAGATATGATGGCACTTACTGGAGCCGATGACTGGAATGGACATTCCCTGTTCTGGTTTTGGAGGCGACAATTCTGATGCTGGTGGGCTGTCCATGAACACAAGGACTGGATGACTGGGTGGGCTGATACTACTAAAAAAAGAAAAGAGGGAGATAAAAGAAAGGGTTAATACAGAAGAAGCAGAAGGTTAAAAAATACTGTCAATGTTGAAAAATGAGGTAATTGTAAATAATAAGTTAATTATGTAACAGCATTTTGACACTACGGCCAAGTCATATTTTGGCATTTCTTGTGCTTGAGAACGAGGCCATAAAATTAGCTTGACCACAAAAAAATAAAAAACCTGCAATTTGTGACATTTATTATTTGTGCACTGACAATGTGAAAAGTCATGTGTGATACAGTTAATTAAAAATTGCCATTTCAGTCCCTTGGGAAGGTATTTGAGATTCACTTAAAAACTCAATCTTTCAGGAATCCCTTAGAATACTTTGGTGTAAACCAGCTAAATCAGGTACAATAAAATCACAAGTATTTCATCCCAATCAGTGACACTACCTGTCTTCAGGTGTGGATACAGGTTGGCATGGTTGGCTGACTGGTGTAGGCGAGCTGAACGGGGTGCCGATGTCTGTGTCCCTGGAGCTGTCCAGCTGACTGCTATCCAGTGAGCAGCGCTTCGACCCACCACCATTTGAGCTTCGGTTTATATCTCCCAAACTCTGCCAAGAGATAGAGTTAGGTTACAGCTATTGCTTCTTTAGAGACCAAGAACATTGATCATTGATGTAAACACTAGAAGACTATGTGGTTTTACCTTTTTCTTCCTCTGCACAAGTTCAGGAGGCAGGTAATGATGCAACTGTTTCTTCTTCACATGTGTGGCCTCAATAGTCATGCCATCCTTCAGCATGTTGATGTTGCTGGCCTGCCTATAAACTACAAAGGAAATCCAGCTTTTAGACATTAAAAGACCCCAAGTGTCCTCTACATCCAAAATAACCAGTAACTTTAACAGGACAACGGAGGAAAACAAAATGCACAGGCGGAGCAGCTAACCAGTATCGGTGAAGGACTGGATGTCATAGGTCAAGTCAATATTCACACAGTCAGAATTGTCCAGTTTTTTGAAGCTGATTCCAATAAACCACATGGAAACAAATTCATTCCTGTGAGAAAAAAAAAAAAACAGCATGCAAATTTATAAACTTTTTAATTTCTCTTTAGTAGTCCCTATATACAGGCCATTAGATATCAGCAAAATAAATGTTGGCATTGTAAAATGGTGATTAAAGGTGGTTGTATGAAGCAGAAGTTGAAACCCTGAGAACAAATAAAATTAAAATAATAATCGGAGCAAATCCAATAGTGTCCTCGCATCATCTATCCTCCTGCCTTAATGAACAAAACATTAGCCTCATGTTTGTTCTTATGGCAGGATGACAATACAATTGATAAAGTACAACAATAGAAATGTCAACTGGAAGAGATTTTACCATACTGTCTGCACCATGATAGATATAAATCTGTGCAGGACTGCTTTGCATTTACAGGAATCATTACCTTACTTTTAAGTAAGGTCTTTTGGTCTTTTAAATAGGCACTTCGTATGATAAAGTCATAATTTGCGTCCAACAAGTTCCAGATAAAAAAAAAGAAAAATTACTACATTAAATACATTTCACTTGTAAAAGATTTCTTTCTATTATTATGCAAAAATGGAACCACATGTTTATTTGAAATGCAGAGCATTTTCACTATGAATGAATATATAATTTAAACCCGACAAAGAAAACAAAAACAAACAAACATTATATTGTGATATAAAATTACTCATACCTAGACAATTTGTTGGTCACGCCACGCACCTATCTATTACTTACTCATTGCGGTTCTCTTTTGAACCGGGAAAAGACTGTGGGTTGACATGAGCAAGGGTGATGTACTCATTGCGCTCCAAATTTCCAACCAACACTCTTATCTTTGACTCCACCAGTCCAATCCTGTGGAGGCCAGAACATCATTATTTGAGGAGTCTGTGGTTCCAGAAACAGAACCCAATGAACTGATTTCAGAATGTAGATCGTGAATTTGAGTTTAAGTGTAGCCTTTTCTATTATTATTATTGTTGTGATGCTGTTTAAGTGGAATGAAAACATTTTAGTACAAACCCATACAAGCAAGTCAAACTATAGTTCTTTTTTGGGGGTTGAGGGGTACGTTTTAAATTTCTGACAAATATTACTAAGTCCAATTAAAATTAGAACAATTTTTGCAGACACACAAAAAAAGCAGCAAGAAATGAATTTTACCACTCTAGATGGTTTTCCTCAGTGGATGCACTGGCAGTAAGGACAATGTAATGCCTGCAATAAACAAACCAACATTAAATTCAATTTTTACTGCAATTGATCTCTGATATGACACTATGGATAACCCCTTACTTGTACTTCTGGAAAAAGTTGGGAGGTTCAAATAACTTGGACCAATCGGCTTTACCCAGAAGAATTTCATCTGTAACAGTGAGACCTTAAAACAGAAAAATTGGAAACATGAGCAATGGTCAAGGGAGATGGCCAATATCTGACCTACTTTGATTTAAATTACATACCATTCTTGAACTCTTCACTCATGATGGTGCGTGTGGAAGTAGACACGTTGTAGGTAGAGTTCTGTTGCGGGTATGCAGGCGTGATGATTGGCATCAGGTGATACCTGTCTGATGGATTCACCTGAAAGTAAAACAACAGATGGTAGAGTGAAATGAGAACACTTTCATAAAGCCTAGAAAAATTGTATACAATGAACATAATACTAACCCGCGGATCCCAAACTGGCAGATTCAAATTGCTGTCTTCAGGTTGTTTTAAAAGCACAGGGTTTGGCCATTCCCTGAAGTAGTAAAAAAAAAAAGAAAAAAAAAGAAGTTTATGCAGTGAAGAGATGAGAGGGGGAAAGCAATGGACATTCCATGACTACAGGACATGGACTAGACATTAACAACACACAATACGTGAAGTTCCAGTTCCACCATATGGACTACATGTGCTGTGACCTCACCATTTAGAGAAGACCAGAAAGAACTTGTGCACAAGTGTGGCGGCAACAGCATTTGGGTAAAGCTGACATGTCCTGGCCACCAGCATAGCCCAGGACACGCCACCCAGAAAGCCTAGCATGTTGGAATAGATTCCACGGCCTAAAAAATAAAAAAAAGTCACTGAATTGCATTCTTAGCAAAACCAAGATTTAGAATAAAAGAGATCAGAATTTCAACCCAGATGAGTGTGAAGCATTTATCAAGTCATTTCCCTGTACCATTTCACCCTTTTCTCCCCATCATTTCTGTCCTCCTCTACTCGATCAATAATAAAAATAAAAATAATAATAAAATTCTCAAAAGGCAATAATTTAAATCACACTTACGTTTGGCCCACAATTTAATCGCTCTCAATGTTAATCTGAAATTCTCTTTATTAGGCACCAAATATAGGATCTCATCCGTAACACGGCAACCTGGAAAATGTACAAAACAACAAGTAAATCTATGAAATTAAGACTGTACATGTGACATAAAACATAAAATCTTGAAGGTTATTACCGTTTAGACTGCGAATGCATCTGATGTCCAAGTTTCTGAGGAGGGAGTCTCCTCTTAGGTCCAGGTTATCAGGAATGGACTGTAACGCGAGCCTAGCAAACAGCAGATCAATCTGAGGGGGTGAAGAAAAAAAGTAAATAAATAAATATCATGCAGGCTTATATCATAAACAATTCGTCATCATCAAATGCTTTACCTCAATGCCATCAAACTTGAATTTGATCACTGGCACAAAAGCATCCTCCACAGCCTAAACAGGAATTATACACAAGATAAAGTCACTCTTAAAACAAAGCAGTGGCATAAATTATGAGTAATGGAAAAGGTACTCACCCGTAGATCCTTAATCTCATCATGCCGTTTTAGTTTTTCGAAGAAAGATGAGAAAAAGTCAGTTCTTTCAACATGACGTGGGGCAACACACAAAGCATCTATATCAGCACCTAAAGGAAAAAAAAAACATTGATATGCAAAGGGTACAAATATTCCTCTTTATAACTTAAAAATATCTGCAAACCTTAAGTTAAAGTCTTTTAAGAATTTTCAGCTGCTTTACAGTACAAGAAAGCTCATCAAATGTACCTTTTGTGTGCACTCCCAACCTATATGACCCAAAAGTAAAGATTTTGCCACCAACATTCGCTACTGCAGGTGGAAGATTCTGTGAGGCAAAAGAGACGATTTAGAAAAGCAACTTATACTTCTTGATAAAAAAAAAAGTAACTTCTTGTCATAACAGGTGATGTGACAATGACATAACAGGCCAAGAGACCTGTAGTAGTATTTACCTTTGTTTCACTGATTTCTGAAATCCACTCCTTAACAAATGAATTCAGCTTCCCAAGAACTGCAAGCCTATACAGACACAAACATATCTCTCTTACTCTTAGTCATTACAAACATAGAAGACACTCTGCAAAAACTAGTTTGTAGAAGGCAAATTATACGCCTAATACTGTATTAAAAGTCAAAGGATTTTTGCTTAACCAGCAACAAAACAAACCATGTAAAAATTGTTAGAAGTTCATGACTTTAGTTAAATATGGAATAAAAACAATTTTTTTTCCTTTCAATTGTGTGCATGCAAAAATCTGTAATTTCTTATTGTCTCGACATTAAGTAAAGCAAGTAAAGTGAGCCAGGGTATGGCAAGATTGCAATATCTTTTCTGATTTTATGCTTTTATGTAAGATAGAGCACCACTGCCATGAGAAATCAGGTCTTGTGTCTTGAAATCGGGTCTCAGGACTCCAATAGGTACTCTTTAGAGCCTGCTTACAATTCCCACAAAATCATGTTTTATGTTATGTTTGAACTACGTTTTAAGGACAATTAAAGTTTGTTTAGTTCACTAGAATAGCATACAGATAAACAATTAGCCTGATAGCTTAACTTATACACTATGCATTTGAACATACATGCATTTACAATAAGTAATTAAGTAAAATATTCAAATACTCCAGTTATTAAAAGAAAAATCTAATTCTATATAGAATTTAATTATTTTATTATGCACTTGACTACATGGTAAGCAAGTACATACATATTTTAAATTGTATGTTCCACCAAGGAACAAATCTCTAAAACACTCAATAATATGTTCAGGGTCAGTGCTGGTCTTATGATTATTAAGTGGTTACTGCTATGTCACAGTGACACCTACGCCAAGCACACACCACATAACTGGAGGCTGCCACCCTGCGTTTCAATTCCAGGGCACTCAAAAACTTGTCAGCAAGATTTTAAGCAAATCTTTGGTTAGTACTTCAACACATATAATGCACAGGGCTTGTTGCCTGTCCAAAACATACAAAAATGCTGAAGTATGATCTGTAGTTTTAACAAATATTTCCATCCATCTGACGGACTTAGCTAACAAATAAACAGGGATATCTGGATGAAAGTAACATGGAGGGAGGGAGAGAGAGAGAGAGAGAGAGAGAGAGAGAGAGAGAAGAGAGAGAGAGAGAGAGAGAGAGAGAGAGAGAGAGAGAGAGAGAGAGAGAGAGAGAGAGAGAGAGAGAGAGAACACGTTGTCAAAAATAATAATAAAAAGTTGACATCACACTTTAACCAATAAAGAACATTTTTGCATATACAGATAGCTCCAGATATGTCGACTGCAAAGATCCTTCAAAGGTTTGCGTTGGTACTTTCATCAAGGACAGAGATAGCAACAAACATGTGGCAGTCTGCAATGGACAAACCCCGTCTCTAACCACTGGAAAGATACATAAATGAAAGTTCTCACCTGTGATTGAGTTCATCTTCACCCTCAAACACTCCAAATGGTTTCATAGCCTCAGTGAGCTTTTGAGTGTAGATATGGTCTATCTCTCGGGGAAAGGCCAGGCTGATTGAAGATGTGATGCCATAATGTTTCCGAGGCTGCTGCCCGCCAAGCGTACTGTCACCAGTCCTGCAATTGAAGACATAATCATGACAATAATAATAGGTTCATTCTGCACTGTAGAGACATTAGATATTAAGATTAATAACAAATCAAATAGTATTGAGCTAAAAAAAAGCCTAAAAGCTTTTTAAAAATTAAGGGGGGCTCTAATCATTTGACAGTACAAAATAGTAATATGTAAATATGTATGTTCACACACACACACACACATAGGCAAATCATATTGTACATTCAAATAAGCTTCGTTTCATGAAACGTAAACAAGCATTGAAAGAACCGTGCATTGCCCAATGTTTGGTGTAAACAAAGACAAGATTACTTGGCAAACACCACCAACATAACGTTACTTTTTAAATGCAACGGACTAAACCATGCGTGTATTTAACCACTGTCATGTACTCATTTATTAAATTAAAAACACACAATCAGGCCGTTTATCAGCTACAGTCTGCATTCTCTCACCGTTATCTTAATAAACTGGCTAAACTAGCCTAGCATGGCATTTTTTTAAATCAACAACTAACCCGTTTAGCCTACTAAAATCACTTTGGGGCATGGAACACTTACGTTGACATCTCTTTCATGACCTTGCGTATAAATATCCACTTATTTTCAGAACAAACGCGCAGAAAACATGTAAACTCAGCCAGCAGCAGCCTCGTCTCAATTTATAACAATAGTTGTTGCTCCAATATGGCGGCCACCGGACAGACATCTCCCGACATGCTTTGCGCCCTGACACTAGCAGATGAATGTGTTCAAATATCAATAATTTTATTGGACTACAGTGAGCAGAGCAGCAGGCGAAACGACTATACAATTTTTTTGTCATTTTGTAAAAATTATTATTATTGAAGAAAATCCGCACTCTCTGGTAAAAAGTAGAAATCCTGAAGAGATCTGGGCTTGTTGTTATTCGGTTGGATATTTCTCACAGTAGGTTTATTTTTGAAAGTCAAATCATAGACATGTATTTTAAGATTATTGTTACAAAAAAAAGCGAATTCACATTTCCTCAGTTACTGGCCTGGACAAAAGAAGTATTTGAATACATGATGACCATTTGTGACAACGTGCCCCTCGCTATCTGGCAGCATCACGTGACCAAAAGCTGCGTAAGTAGCCCTACAACCGACTGCATGACAAGTTTGGTCCTTTTTCAACATAATATGTGAGATTATCGATACTGAAACTTTATTTGGACAGTACTGATGGGTGAAAGTGATGTAGTTGAACTAATAACAAACGACATTAAGCTTCCCAAGAACTAGCCTACAGAAATCTTCTGTGGAAAAATACACAGAGTCTAGGCCTACTGCTCTGTATTTTAGCTGGTATTGAACATTTGGCAAAAAATAACTTCTTATTGTTTATAATACTTGTCTATCCGTATATTACACTCACAGGGATACATTTTTATCTGTTATACGGCCTGCTTCATTTTTAATGTAGCCTACAGTGGAGTGATACATTTTAAATAGTTTGGAAATGGCTTTAAATCCCCTTTCAGACTCAAAAGCCTCAAAAACCTTCCTTCTGAGTGACCTAAAATTGAAAAGGCAGCTTTATATTTTCGTGTTGTATGAACGTGCAGTTTATACCGTGATAAATACATTAATATTACAAATATGTGTAAAATATAATTTGAAAAATATTTCGTTTTTATTAAATTGCATTATGTTCGTTTTTTATTCATTTTCAGTCTCATTTATTTATTTTAATCTTCATTATTTTAATATATATATATATATATATATATATATATATATATATATACAAATTAAATTAATTATAGCCTAATATAGGCTATATTAAATTAATATATATATATATATATATATATATATATATATATATATATTAATTTAATATAGCCTATATTAGGCTATAATTAATTTAATTTGTTTATTCGAATAACTGTATTTATTTATTTTAATCTCATTTGCATTGTTTTTATATATAGCCTATTTACTTTATCTACTTAATAATTTATTTAGGCTAACTTTATTTATTTTCTTATTACTAATATTTATTTATTTATTATCTGTTTTCCCTAAACATTTCCAGACCCCCTACCACCCCCTTGAGTCCACTTGGTTTGAAAACCCCTGGTATAGGGAATACATTTATTTACGAACAATTTGGACATTCATTCAGGGTTATAATGGGCTGTATCTGCTCCATTTGATGAAGCGTAATAGTTCTAGTTTAATACGAGATTTGGCATATGTTGTGATTGAATCGATTAGACACAAGCCAGGCTTCGGTGAGATTGTTCCAAAGAATGTGTGAGCCGTGCGTAATCGCTTATCCACAGCACCATCTAGTGGCTCAATGCCAGTGGTGTGGCGTGATGACGTCCAGCAGCTCTCCAATGAAAACCAGAACAGGAAATGTTGCGTGAGAGTTATTTGACTATGCCCAATACTGTTTTGTTGTGGTATATGGGGTGTTGTAGTAAATTATTATTATGTTTTTTTTTGTAGAGTTGTCACCATAATATAATCCTGCACACATGTGTGTGAATAAAAGGCTATTTTCACATAGAATCACACTGTTGCTGTATTCTATTTCCTTTATTGTGCAAGAAAAATTTACACCATTTACGACTTGATGATAGATAGATAGATAGATAGATAGATCGTAATGAACCATTCCCCCCCAATATCTTTTAAAGAATCATTTAAGGAAATACTAATGGAAATAACTTATTTTAAATAGCCTAATATTACAAAGTTTTATAGATGATAATGTTACAAATTCACAATGAGTGTGTTCCAGTGACTTGAAGAATAAAATTACTCGATCATTTAAAATAAATGATGGCTATATTTATACTGGCTCTTTTATTAAAGGTGTATAAAAGCCGCACAGCTTTACACTGTTAATCAAGCTTTCTGCTGTGCTTTCATATTGACATTCTCAAATCGTTATATTTCATTCAGTGTGATTTATCACACTTTTCCCTCAAAACCACGTTGGTCAACATTTCAACATTCTAGTGTATAATGTCTTCCTCCAATGTTGCAGTCGATAAATTCTTACTTTAATGCGTTTTTTATATAGGATGTATGTTATTGGCTCATTTGAGACCAAGAAACGACCCTCACAACGACATTTTCTTTATTAATTACAACATTTTAACACCATTTTAAATTTCAATTAACATCTTTATTTTCAAGAACACTTCATTTTAGATGAACAGCGTTTACAAAGAAAATGTTCGAAGCAGAAAGTAAAAGGTCCGAATGAACAATGTAACCGAATAAATGAAACGGTAACAAAAAGCACTTTGTGAAGTATTAAAATGAATGTTACTGCGATAAATGCAATACAATGCAAAACAATATTATATTAGAAACCACTGTATATTTAATTCTGTATTTTAACATGGCATTGATGGCAACATAACACTTCTAGGCTGTAGAGTGAAGTCTTTTCTTTTCTTTTCTTTTCTTTTCTTTTCTTTTTCTTTGCAACAGGTAAACAGCTGAACGTGTTCCTCGTTCTCTTAACCAAGGCATGTATACAGATAGCCTCAGGCTGCAGGAAAGCATTTAGTAATGTAATCCGAATCAGTTGTCAGATAGAAAGATATTGTTATTTTTTTTTAGCTGGTCATCCCGCTATGGTATAAAGATCATTGAGTGAATTCTTCAGCAGTATCGTGAGCCGTGAAACCAACGTGTTTCCTGAGCACGTCTCCCGTGTTTACAGAGAGGTTTAATGGCAGAGTTTGTGTGGCTGTGAGAAGCATTTGCAAGAGTTGTTTTCGTGTAGTTGCTGTCCATGGTTCTGAATTCAATTATAACGACCAGAATTCCTCAGTCTGATTATAGTGAAATCAAGTCAGTCAACTAGCCAAATTATTGCTGGATGCAAGTGGTAAGCAAAGATATTCGGACCAAATTGCAAAAATTGCATCTCTGATTCGTGATATTAGAAATTGTGTTCTTTGTATGTCAACACTAAAGTGACTGATAATGTTCAGATTCTTCATTTTAAGGCTATCGTTGAAAAACAATGCAATGCAGTGCAATGATTTCTTAATACAAAATGCATTTAAATGACAAAAATATACGAAAGATTCTTTAATGTTTGCCTTGTTTTGGACGATTTGCAGAATTTATGTCTAATGCAATTATAAAAAGCTTCAAGAAATCTACATCTTACTCATCTTTCATTGAAAAATGTTAGAACTGGGACCTTTTAATTTTCATATTGTCTTATTATAACAAAAGATGATCATCCTCCTCTTTGTCAAGAACAAAAACAATAATTGTATAAACCATCAGGACACGTCCCTTTCTCCACAATCGTCACACTGCAGTACGTTTATAGCCTATAGTGTTTAGTTTTAGCAACTCGTAAAATCATAAACAGAATTGCAATTAAATAACAAACCATTCCTTACAAGTAACTCAACTAAAAAAAAAAAAATCAAATATGAGGAAAAGAAGCTTCACAGTGTAATGAAGAACCGTTTCAGTTTTAGATCCCAGACGTATATCGCTGTAAAAAGTTGTGTTTATATTTTTTACTCCGTTGTGTTTAATTTAATGGCCTGTAATGCCATAAAATCAAGTTGGTTCATTCACTTCTCTCAATAGGATACGTTCATTTCTTTTTGTCAAGTCCTCTTAATTCTGAACAGCAGAGGGAGCCTGGAACACGGCACATTGCTTTTTCTCTGACTGCGTCTCTCAAAGTCCGCGAATCATGTCGACCATCAGAAACCTCTTTAATGACTCCAATGTGTATCCTTTTATCCCACTTATATAATTCACTTTTATTAATAATAATGCCATGTTTATCCCGCTTATTTTGTTGCATTTAGCACATTACAGACAAAGCCATTTAACTTATTTAAGCCTACCAGTTTTAATAATACGGGTTATAGTAAAAACTTTAATTTCTTCAATGTCATTGATAACTAATAGCGTGAAATCTAAGTTTAGCATGAAAGCAAATATGACAGCCATCCTCATGGGGATGTGAGCTGTGTTGTTTATTTGTTTGTCGTATGGTTAACGCATGGCCTATGTGTATGTGTTGAATATCCCCATGCCTTATTGTTTCACAAATTTTTTAAGTTAAGCAACAACATCTCTTGAACTTATACTGCCTCAATGCGCAATCTATGAACATGAAAATAAACGAAAGACTAAACTCAACAGATAAACGACTTGCGTCCCTATAGTTTTGTTCCATTCATCATCCTATTTATGTAAGATTAACAACAGTATAAACACCGACTGGCATGAACTTGTGAAGCGCGTCACCTTGAAATAACAACGATTACGCAATAATATTTCAAGGATGTGTTTTACTTTGTCTTTTGTTCTATTAAAGCTTTTTTTTTATACAATAAGTGTAGTCTTTATATCTTACAGCATGTGTCCCCATATAGTCAACAATCAGGGGTAATCTGATTTTATCTGTCTCTCACTCATACGCCGTTCCTTTTCGCAGAATAACCAGAACTCACGTTTATAATTTCGCCCACAGAGACGTAATCCCTTTGATTATATCTAATACCTGCCAAAACCCAGATGGCATGCCCACCCATCGCTCGGTGTGATAATGCCACATTGTGAAATCTAGCCATTAATATTAATTTTCAGTCTGCGAATGTGCCTGAACTGCTGAAGCTTAAAATTCCTCAAAGAAGGCAAGACTTGACTTACCAGGGATTTTAAAAGCATTCCCATTTCGCCTCTTTCCGTCCTTTGAGGTGAAACTTATATTCAGTGGGATATGTAGACTTAAGGTGGTTACAGTCGACACGACAAGGCCTATAATTAATCTTGGTCAGTCAGATTTCCTGTCAAATATATATTCGTCTTTGCGACAGTGGACAAAGTGAAGTAATGTTGTTTGCACTGGTGTGTTTTGTGGTGATTCCTGTGCTTTTTAGGGTCTTTTGTGCGAATTAAACTTTCGAAGAAAATGGACGGAGACAAAATTATTTCGTTTATAATGCTCACATTTCTTGAAATTTTACATGAATTACTCAACAGCGATTTGCAGAGACTGTCCCAGAGGAACGCGTAAGAGGATCATGATTACAACCATATCTGAGAAATACATGCCATTTAATTTAGAACTATCATACAAGGCAAGAAAAGCGATTTTTTTTCCATCCAGGTGTTGGGTCAGTGCATGGCCTTCACTCTTGATCGGTCGGTACATCAGTCCAATGGCATCCACAAAGATCTATGTGAACCAGAGAGTATGAGATCCTAGCATCTAGTCACATCTGGCTACCAAAACGGGCAGATAAAGAGGCAAATAAATAATATGGCAAATATTTTTTGTTTACTTTTTTCATTTACATTTTGCAATTGGCTCTGTATTTGGATTAAAGCAGTAAAACGTGGCTCAATTCTCTGTAACATATGTGCACTGTAGTAGTCGTTTAAGAAAGTTTCCATAAGAGTATAAATGGCCACTTTTTTAATTAGAAAAGACATTGTGCAATAATAAAAAAAACTTTGCAATTGATATAACAAAAATAACAATAAAAAATGAATAAATAAGCAAAATTTTATTAAGTAGCCTACGTAATTCACAAAACATTAAGAAGGATGCACAAATAGTTTTTTTCTTTTGCATAATAGTTTGTTTAGCACTAATTAACACGAATTAGTGTTAGAACAAGTACTAGTAGTGTTTACCTTAAACTTTTTTTTAATAAAAAATGCTCAATACTGAGTGACAGCTGCTCTTTGAGCATAAAACTTTATTTGAAAAGTTTTAATAAATTTGGCAAGATAACGTATTGGAACAGTCCTGTCACGTTTTCAAGTGGAATACACGCGGAAAACCTACTTTTGTAATAATAAATAAATTACAACCAGAAAGACACATAACGAGCATATCTGTCCTGAAAAGTCTTTACAGATAAAGTTGGGTAAAGATGAATGAAAACACTAAAGCGCACTCTCTCCATCATACGCAAACTGCACGCGACGGTTTTTACTCAGTGCTAATCTCTCTGGTAAAACATAGATGCCAATAAAGCCCCTCTTTCAACATGACATCAGCGCTGGACAACAGTTGCAGGAAAACAGATCTGCTGATGAAGTGCCAGAGCTAGTGGGAAAATGAGAGGAGTGAAGCATGAACAGGGCGTTGGGCGTTGATTTATCGCATAAACCCTTGGTCATTTCCATATATTAAAATGTGCCCAAGGGGCCAGTCAGTCAATTTCCTTGAGCCACTACCCGTGGAAGGCAAGCACGTGGCCAAAAGAAATGTAACTTTCTTGTTTTTTCCTTCTCTGACCTATGGACCAATATCCATTTCCCCCCTGTAGTCCTTAATAGTGAAAACCTATACTATTAAGAAGGTAGCATTTTAATAAATTGATCTTATAGCAACAGTCATAGGTTTGGTAATCTGGTTTTTGTGTCATCCACAGGGCCTCGCGCATTGAGCTGAAACGTTATTTTAAGCATGAATCTGTCATCGCACTTTCCTCTCACTCTCATTTCCAATCGCTTCGTCTGTCACTCTCTAACACAAAAGCACCTTTTCTGTACGAGCGAGCGCGCCTGACCGTGCATTGGAGAGATGGATATTGCTATGCATTTAACGTCTGGCTGATTTATGATGGGATCAGTCGCATTGTCATTTACATATTGAGATTCTGTTTGTACGCGGCGTTTTGTTGTAGGCTGATAGCTTTCATTCCTGAAGGAGGTGTACGCTCCGTTTGCGCTGATCAATGTCCGCCTGCGGGAGCAGGGACAGACTCTCAAGAAAAGTGAAAATGTATATCAAAAAAAAGAAAAAAGAAAAAAAGGTCGTCCATCAGCCAATGGCCTGAGTGGGTAGGGGCCATTGTTAGTGTTACAGAAGTGCATGAACGTCCTCAAAATTGTCCAGCAGCACCAAAAGCTACACAGCGACAGATCAGTCAAAAGTAAACGCTATTTCCAGACGTTGCACTCTAACCTCACCAATATTTGCTATTCACGCGCGGGGAAATAGTCCTTCAGTTTCAGTCTACAGCAAACCTCATACACCATTTCTACCCTCAAATTTTAAGTTTATCTCTACAAAGTTTTTTTTTTAATATATATATTTACGAAATATTCCGAGCCACGTTTAACAATGCAATCCTTTTGTGGGATGAATGAAATACAGAGCACGATCCCTCTCGAGAGGTCCTAAAGGAATCCGTGGTGCATTTCTGTCAATCACGCTGCACGGTTGCAGAAATATTAGACACTTAAAAATAAAGGTCCTAGTTAGAGACAAAAAGTGTGTTACAGCTTGATTCCGCATGATAACCTTTTTATGATACTTTTTTTTATACAGAAACCAATCTGGTGTTTTAAACCAATGCAATTATCTCTAAGCTTTTATAATATGCAAATAATAGCAAATGCAAGAACCCTATGTTTCTTTGATTATATTAATAATAATAAGAATTACATGTTTTTTATACGCGCTGCACTCACACAATTGCTGTAAATGTAGCTCTCTTTGTGCATGCTGGAGAATAGTGCGCTGCAATGAAACTAAATCAAAGGCTTTATATACCAAATTCAGATCGATACGGTGCTTTTTCACTTGTTGAGAACAATGACCTGAAAAGCATCGGCACAGTCAGTGTGATACAGTCGAGCGAATCCATTGGCATTCCCAGATAGCCTTCGCGCAGAGTTGACCTTTTTACCCAGCGCAAACCTGACTCAACTTTTGCGTTAAGATCTGACACCTCGCACCGAGAAAAAAAAAAAAAAAAAAAAACCCCACACACACGCATCAACACAGCGATCAGTCTTGGTCCAGAAACAAAGATGTCAGCGTATAAGCCTGCAAAGCAGTTTCACTCACTCGCTCGCTCGCTCACGGGTCACATTATCTCCAGCATTCGATTTCAGTTCCGATCGGTTCCCTATTGAATTGTGCCTTTTCCCCGCAGACTGTCACTTGTTCACGCAGCCTCTGCTTTGAGTCTCTGGAGCAGTCGCTATAGTCTAGTCGTACTTCTACTAGTTCGCTGGGGTGTCTCTCTCTTCCTCCCACCTCATGCATTGAACAAGCTTGTCATCGCGCTCGGTTATACGCTTCATGTCTCTTTAATTTCAAATGCATCGGCGCTGTTTACAGCATCTTTATATTTCTAAATCCACGCGGCGGTTTACTGACACCCCCCTCCTCCCCCCAGTCGCCATTCTCTATAATCTGAACACATCTGAAAGTTATTACCCCGTCCCCTTTCTTTCTAGTGGGCTGCTCCCACAATCTATTCGTCAGTGTGTGTTGTTATATTTTTACAATTACACTCTTGTAGTATTTAAGTCCCACCTACATCGCTCGCAAAGCGCGCGAGCTAGTATCCTATCCCGCTCAACGTGATGTCCCTTAAGTTTCTCTGCATGGGCTTCTGTTCTGGAGGAATGTGGTAGCGCACGCGGCGGTTGAACCCACATGCCCCGACTCGGAACCTGTCTGTCCTGTTCATGCAACCCGATCGTGTCTCGCCGAGAAGCAGCTTGCGCGCTACCTCTGACTGTTTGACCAGGAGTTGAGTGACTGTGTTTGAAGCACCATCAGTGTCCACTACGAAACCTTATATGCGAGGTCCCTCTCCCCTCTCTTTGTATATATAGCATGGCCGGCCCCCTTGAATCTCCTGTCCATTGGCTTTTCGTGCTCTGTTTTCCTGCGTCCACCCCCAGCGCGCGCACGCACGCACACACGCACACACACACACACACACACACACATATACACACGCACCGCAGCGCACATTGCTTTCATTAAGCATATCTCCCCCCTCTCTCTCTTTCAGTGTGTGCGTGTCTCTCGCTCTCTCTCTCTCTCTCTCGCCTCTTGTCCGGCCCCCTGATCTTTCTGTCCATTGGCTTCTTCGGGTCTATTTTTCATGTCCAGCCCCTAATGAGTGTCCATTGGTTTTGTTATTTCCACTCCCTCCTCCCACTCCACGGCTTTGCCCTGCCCATGTTCTGTATGTCTATGTCCATCCATCTCCTGACGTTCAAGTTCGCAGGGACGTCACGTCCGCACTTGAACTTGCAGCTCAGGGGGGCTTTTGCCATTTTTTCATCTCTCTCTCTCTCTTTTCAAAAAAGCCATGACGGCTATCCCACAATCCATCTTCCCTGCGCCATCTTTGTATTATTTCTAATTTATTTTGGATGTCAAAGGCATTGATGAAGATATTTTCTCTGGAGTCTCCCTTCTAACCCGGCTCTCCCGATGTGAACCGAGCTGAAAGCCACCACCAACCACCATGTCTCGCCGCAAGCAAGGCAAACCCCAGCACTTAAGCAAACGGGATTTTTCGCGTAAGTAAAGACAAATATATGTTGTTCCCGTTCCGTTTACCTGTTTTTGGCTCCGTTCTGTAGTGTTGAGTTGCTGGAGAGGAGCGTAATTCTCAGTGAAGACACACTGGACACTGGACAGCGCAGATCAAGTGGACTTTAGAGAAGAGAGCGCTCCCATCTCTGAAATGCCTTTACGCGCACCTTCGTCCGCCGAAATGCCAGAAAAGTTTGCTTTCCATCGCTATACTTGGAGAAGTTCATGCCGACTCTGTGTTTAGGCGCATATGTCTTGGCTCTCGTGCCCCAGTCGCTTTGACCACTTAAGAGCAAGCGCTCACATATACCGGACTGTGGTGGGTATATGCACGCTGGCTTTCGCTCGCTTATTTGCGCTCACATCTCGTGGAATGTCCCGTAACGCTGTCTGTCTGTGATTCTGGGCAGGATTTCCCCCCTCACGCACTATTTTTGGAAGATTTTCAAAGAGTGGAAGTGAATTTTGATTGGGAAAAATCTCGTGTCCGACTGTTTACAAGCGCCGCGTGCGCGTACTACCCACTGCCAGCAAATAGAGCACGCATAGTCGCCTGTGTGAGACTAACATTGCAGAGAAACCCGTCTGCATATAAAATCTGCTTGAATTTGAAACTTAAGCTTTTCTTACATTTGAAGCAAAACGCGATTCTGATCTACTCGTTTGGGCTTTCGCTTAAAAGCAGTAGGAGACGATTTTACGCTACGCTCTTTGCCGTTTCGAGTGCATTTGCAAGGATAAATTCGATTTCACGTAGGCCTGATTTTGTCTTAAATGTCGGTGGCAAAGGTAAGACGAAACCTAAATGTAATAGGCTACAACTATTTAGATACAAATGTATCGAGAAACCCAGTCAGTTTAGCTCTTTTTGAATGCACACATTTGTAGCCTACTGCTAGGCTACTATTCTTAGAATTATCTTTATAATTATTTCATTTACTCTAAACATGTCTTGAAGTTCTGTGGTAAGTTGCATTTTTGTAAACAAAGTGTGCTTTGTATTTTATAGACCTGAAATGTTGTCAGGAAGACGACGAAACGAAAACGTTTTAGCTCCAGTCTTTTAGATATTTACCTCAAATGTAAAGCTACAAAAGCATCAGTCCGCGTTTTATTAGATAAACATGTTTGACACAAATCCCGAGTTGTTGTAACATTGTAAAGTATCGTGTAACATTATTGGGTTTCCACACACAGGCTGTGGGATCTGAGCGCGGGTTACTCGTGTGCTCGCTGCTGCTGCTGCTGTACATGGCAGAAACCCACCGCTAGGGGGCAGACGACGATCATAAACTAGACTCGAACCCGATCATTTACACCGCTATCTTTATCTATTTTTGACCATATGTTAGCAAGCGCGAAACGTATTGTATATGAACTGGTAACTGTTTTTTTTAACCCAGTCCTGACCTGGCATGACATGTATAATTTTTATACCTTGTATTTTTGTACCCTAGTAGTTTAAGCAAACTAACAAATGAGGATTAGGCAGTAAACCAAATGTCAGTCATGAGACACTTTGCTATCTAATTCATAATTACACATAAGGCAGTTATTTTTAAAGCGAATGAGACACTAACGAACGAGCTGTTATTAAAAATGTTTTTATTATTTTATTCAAAACCAGCTTTAAATGTCCACGTTTATACACAGAGACAGCCTCTATCTCTGAAATTTGAAAATATTATCATTGTTTTTTTGGCATTTAAGCTTCTTTTGATTTCAGACACTTGAATTGATTTGAAATATCTAAATATATTCTCGGGTTTAAAAACAGTTTGAATGTAATATCTTTGCCAACGCTGAGTGGAATTTAAAACAGTTGGGAAAACTCAAAACACTTTTCCACAGTTTCCACACTTTCTGAGCCAACTTATTATTATTATTATTATTATCATTTTTTTTAATGTCTAGATTGTCGAATATTGGCCTACTTTGCAACATATTTACAAAATCGTTGTTTATTTAGCCTATAGTACAAGACCAGTCGTATACAGTTAATATAATTAAAAAGTATGCATATACGGATATCTTTATATTGCAGCTGCGATAGTAAAATAAGTATAATTGTTATAGCTAAATGAAGCGTTGAATATAGGCTGTTATTTTATTGTGACGTATTTTAACTGAAATATATATTTTGTAACTTTATAATACTTGCTCGGTAGGCTATTATTAAATAATGTCTGATGTTTTGCATATATCGATTATCTCTGTTTTATCACAATCACATTACGAATCAATATCACTATGAAGAATCACTCTGCATCTATGCGAATTTAAATAGTTTGAGTTCACTTTTGATCGCTTAGGCTTTCTTTTATTTATTTGTATGGTGAGCATTTAAACTTACAAAAATGTCAAAAAGCATTGCAGAGAAGGGAGAATTATCACACTTCGTCTTTGTTATTTCATGTGCAAATGCGTGGGATATTTTCCTGATAAGCACGTCTAGGAGGTTCTCCACATCTGCCCCTGATAGCTGCCCCAGACTGGGCTGAAGTAAATTTATCCGACCTGCTCATGATCCCAACACCTTTTTATCAAAATCTGTACCAATCATCACCCACTAAAATTAAAATCTATTTTTTGATTCTCTGTGGTTTTAGGTTCATTAAAGCATGAAATTGGCAGCTTATAAAGAAGGTCAAGATTCTTAACCGTTAGCAAGCTAGTGTAACCTCTGCGCAAAAGCTTTCACTAAACAATCACAATCATTATAAAATACCTGAATGTGTGTGTGAACCTTCTAACTTTGTCGTGAGGGGAAAAAGCGTGAAGCATGTATTGCTGCAGCTGTGCCTGTGTTGGGTTTGCTGGATATCTACACGTGTTGTCCATGCAGTCATTTCACGATCCAGATGTGTGTATCATTAAGTGAAACAAAGAGTCAGTCTGAGATGAATTTACTGTAGTTTTAGACACAATGTTAATGAACCAAAACAGATATAACAAAATGATGTTACTTTTACCTACATTTAATAAATTAAATGTTAATAAAATGTCATGCCCTTGCTATTAGTTATGGGAATCTTATGTTTTTGTATATGTTCATTGAAGTTCAACTGACAATGACTAATTGATTTTTTGCATGTTTATTATTATTATTATTTATAACTTGTGTGAGGTAATTACATTTAATGGATCTGAAATTAAAAACTAAATTAAAATGGTGGGAGTTTGATGTGGAGCATAACATGTTTTTTTTCCCCTTTTTATCCTGATATATATGTGCTCCCTCATCTTGCCTGCGTTCATAACAGCACCCAGTCTCTAATTTTCCCTCTGCTTTTCGTTCCCTCTGTGTCGCATATGGATTCTTCCTGTGTGCAGCCGAGCCCCTGTCAGCCGTGGTCTCGGAGGAGAGGCAGGAACAGCGCGGGCTGGTACAGGTATCTCCAGAGGGAGACCAGGACCTGCTCACCTGTGGCCAGTGTCAGATGAACTTCCCTTTGGGAGACATCCTTATTTTCATTGAGCACAAAAGGAAGCAGTGCAATGGCACTTTGTGCATGGACAAAGCAGTGGATAAGCCCCCCTCGCCCTCGCATGGTGAGCTGAGGAGAGCGTCCAACCCCGTGGAGGTGGGCGTCCAGGTCACGCCGGAGGATGACGACTGCTTATCGACGTCTTCTCGAGGAATCTGTCCCAAACAGGAAAACATTACAGGTAATCTCATCCCATGTGATTTTTTTTTTTTTTTTTTTTTTTTTTTTTGTGTCTGTGTGAGGAACATTTGTGGTGGAGCCGAGTTGTTGCGTGGGCTACATATCGTAGACACATGTCCTTCCTCTGTGGGGCGTCTCGTTCCCAGCTCTGGAGACGTATCAGAATGCTGAATATTTAAAAGCTGTGGGGCAGGAAGGGGAAGGGGGGGTATATTCAATCAAACCTCAGAGTGATAAGCTATTAAGACCAAAAGAGGAACCGGCATTACTTCATACAAAGCTAAAAAAAAACAAAAAAACTTTTAAAATCTGCTTTATTATCTCAAGATCATCGCTGCTTTGAATCAAGCTTCAGTTGGACTCTGTGGGATTTCGATAATTAAGCTCAGACTCTAACCGTAGATCACACATTCCCACCACCGTCTGTATGCTTCGGTTTAGCACATTTGCACTTTGTGTTTTTTAAATCCCTTTTCTCTGGTAACTTGTCGTTTACTCCCGTCGAGGCCCATAGTTGCAGACTTTGACTTAAAAGTTGCAGTTTTGTTACTGGCCGCCAAAGTAGAGTGCAAAGGGTGTGTTCTTAATGGCACGACGGGCCGCTCATCCCTACTGGGAGAAAAAGAGGGATTGAGAGGGGGAGAATTTGGCACTGGAGGGGCGGTTCGAGGAGTCCTTGCTGTGACAGGAGAGGCCATCCCCCTCGGTGTGTGTCCACAGACTCATGGGAAATGCCTCTCTGTGCTGCACAGCCTCTCTCATGTGGTCTCGACAGATGTATCTTGATTTCGTTGTGGGTTCTTGCATAGCCACATCTTATCCGTATAAATGCACGCCTGCACATTTTCACTTTCTGTCAAAAAAAGGAAAGGAAATGGAAGGCCGTTTGGTTATTTTGGTTTGTCAGGGAACAATAATACAACTCTAATTATTTGTTTGAGTTTCGTGGATGTGCATTTTAATTAGAGGTTGACTTGCACTATATAAAACAGAAAATACAGTCATAAAAAACAAGCTCCTAATTTCCTCTGTAAACAACTTTATAAAAAGAAAAGAAAACGCTGGAATCTTATAGCAGCATAAGTCTAATCTTCCTTAAGCTGAGCGTTAAGTGAAATTAAGTTGTCGGCGTGCTATTATGTGTCCATGAGTGTCTTGGGCTGGTGGGGCGATTTAGAGTGGCTGTTTTTTAAATGTAGAAAATGTGAGAGTGAGACTTTCCAGTCTGTTTTTCTGCCCTGGCTTTGCGTTTGGCCATTCTCTGGTCTGCCTCAAAGATCAGGTTCCAGGAAGCGTCTGGGTCCGGTTAGCCCCATCAACAGTCATTTGGACTTGACCCTTTGCTCTGGGCTAATTATCGGCGGCTGAGTTCAAGTATCAAGTTGTTTTTCAACAGTTCCCACTTGCATATTTTCAGATAGAGAAAATGCATTTGTATATTAGTTTGTGTGCATATAAAATGTATTCAATAATCTGCTGTGGAACACAATGCTGTGCTATAGTACGTTTAAATTTGATCAGATATGGAGGCTGAACTGGGTCATTTGTGTCTGCTTGCCCTCTTTGTTTTAGGCATGTTGATGCAGTTTCAGCACAAATTATACAACCTTTATGCGAGCCGGCTATCGCACACGTCTCTTGTTTCTGTCAGACGCTAAACTGGGTTATTAAACTCATTTACATCATAATGTATCAGGGTTCTGCTGATAGCGTTGGGTCACTGGTATTATGTGTGCTTGTTATTATTATTTTTTTTTAAACAATTTTGTGAGAAGGACCATAACAGCTTCTCAGCATGTTACTGAATATGCTACCAAGGCAGGTCAGACAGGGAAGAGATATTAATTAGCCATATTATAGATGATTTCAGACATAACACATTCAAGGTTAGTTATGACTGCAGCTTACCATGAATATGTAAACTATTCTTTGTGATAGTGTGCGTGTATCTGTACCTGGGTTAGAGGTGGGCTAGAACATCACAAAACTGAAGGTGATAGAATATACGTCACAAAAATCCATACATAAATAGCAAAATATAAATGTTTTTCTTTAAAGTGTTAAACTATCTATTATTTATTTTGTTGTTATATATATTTTTTTTTAAAGATTTTTTATGTACATTCTTTCTATGAATTATTTTAATATATTATTTGAATTTTTTATTCGTAACTTTTATACATTATTTTTATTTTATTTATTATTTTTTATTATTAATGTTTAGTTTTATGTATTTTATTTATTTTATTTGATCTATTTTAAGAGGGATCATTATGGTGTAGTTCAGATGACCAAATAAGGAAATTGTTATGTGTGATGTAACAACTCCATTTCCATGTTGAGCAGCTCAGTGTGAGGAAAAGCAGTACCTGTCACAGAGGAATGGACTTGCTGTGTGAGCATAGAAAGTGCCAATACACACATGTGTGTGGCTGTCTATTAAATAGCACAATGTATCCTGGTGAGAGGGCCTTAGAGAAGACTGAGACCCTCCCCTCTCCCATGCTGTGATTTGATACAGACATAATGTATTTATTTAATTTTTAATCTCTAAATGAAATTTTGGAGCCGCCAATTCCCTGAAAATGGCCAAAAATTAGACAGGTTGTCACAAAAGTGTCTAGTTGAATTAATGCTGCTCCCAGAGCTTTGAATACGCTCTCTCTTGATATAATCTGCATCGTGTCCTTTGCTTCACAATGTAAGACGCCTGATGAAATGTAAAAATTATGCAGAGTAACATCCTATGATCTTCTGTTTCGCAGCGCGTTGTCCAAAAACATGTCGATGGAACAGATTGAATTCGCTTTGGCTCACGATATGGGGGCCATTTGGAGCTCTGAACTTTTTTTTTCAAGACTCTGTCTTTCGCTATGGCAGCCCTTCAGAAATTATGACTGCTCTCCAATAAATCGGCAGATTAAATCGGACTAACACTGCCGCCATGCAGAACGGACCTCAATACAGATAATTGTTTTTTAAATGGCCTTTGCTGGGTGGGTTTTTAATGCCTCTAACTCTCCTGCTCGCTCGCTCACCCATTTTGTCACTCTTTCCCTCTCTGCTATGCATATGGCTGTAACAGTCAATGTAAATCAGGGGCATCCAATTAATATTGAATCAATTACACTGTGTGCGATTGTCTGGCATGTGAGCTGCCTGCAATTTTCTGTGCCAAAATGTGACCCAAATGAGTGGCTTAACAAAGACCCCAGCAATTTAAGCTTTTTTTCCCCTTATTGTTTTTTTTTTCTTCCTCCTTTTTTTTTTAAAATCACATATTATCTGGAGCTTGACGATCTGTCATGATCATAATTATCATCAAAGCGCCCTTCTGGAGTTCAGCTGCGAGTGTGCTGACACTGATCGTTTTTTAAGAGGACTTGTGAGGAGCAGCGTTAGCTGACGTTCAGTCATGAATGAGAGCCGAGGCTACCCCTACACAGTTGCTTTTATTTTATAAACCGCCCCGTGTAGCATGGCAGTGTGTGTGACAGACGTAATAGACGGCACATGTGGAAATATGCATGTATACAGAGGCAGCTCAGTGTCACAAGATCATTTTATTTGTGCAGGTGTGTGTGTGTGTGTGTGCACGCTGTCACGGCTTAACATTGGGGCAACACCCAAACCTTGCATGTCCTTTTTTTTTACAATCAGTAAAATGAATTATAAGGACGAGACAAAGAGACATGTCTTACCCGAACGGCGATGGTGCCTTGAAAGAGACTCTTTATGAATATGTATTCGAATTTGAGTGGGGGGGCTGGTCTAATTTTCCAAACCTTTATTTCCTTTCACCGACAGGATTTCTTCACACACAAGACCCGTCTTCCCTTTCAAAGAAAACCGTGCTGTTGTATGCCCATGTGTGTTTGTATGTGTTTGTATCCAGTCCCTGCATACATACCATCTCATGTCTGATCTTAGAAAAATAGCATTACTGAATATGTGAGTGAGTGTGTGTGTGAGAGGTGTGCAGCTTTTCCAGAGGGTTGAGGTGTAATAATAGCACAGAATGATGTTTAATTCTCTTGGAGCGGTTTTGCTGCATGTGGAGATGTGTCTCGCAGCATCCCTCGCAGAAACATTGTGATATTCTGCATCCTCGGGCTTGATTTGCATGATACAGTCGGCTTGGTGCTGTGGGGGTGGACGGCTTCCTTTCATTCGCCATTCTCATCTAATGGGCTACAGCACACATTTTTTGTTGGGTTGGGAATTTTGTGTCGCCTGGAAAAAAAATGAGAAACGAGAATATATATGTTTTGTTATCTGTGCAATACCATTGTTTTTATATTCGCTTGAAATTGAGAGATATTCAATGAAAAAAGTATATTTGAAGTCTTAAAACCCTACAAATCATGTCCGTTTTACCTGTTTTTTTTTTGCGCCAAAGCTGGCGTGCAAGGAAACAAAGGTATTTAGCAGCCAGACGGGCACTGCCTGGCACGGTGCCACCCGCTCCGTCTCAGTTCTCCCACCCCCGCACCCCTTCATACGCTCTTAGCACCCAATGACGCTCTCACCCCCCCCCCCCCCCCCCCATCCCTCCCTCCTGCAGACAATGGCATCGCCTCCTCCATCGCAAGAGGAGAAATACCCAGCTCTCTCCTTTCTGTCTGTCCTCATCTCCATAATGCCACCCGATCACGGCGTCTTTCCTGGACTACCTCGAGCGATCGCTTTGTCTTTCTTCCGGATGTTAGATGAAAAATAAAAGTGATTGTCTGCTCGATGTAAAACGCTGTTATTGTTCGCAGGTACGTGCAGGTCTAGAAGGTGTAGGGTTTGATTTTAGGTTCGTGAGAACTGTGATTATACCTCTACGGAGAGATTTTGTGATAATTTAGCTGATATTCAAGCTCCCCTCTGGTCTGATCTCCTCGTTTTATTTGTGCCAACATGAATGCATGTTTTGTATGTGGGTGGACGCGCACAGACCCACTGGGTCCTGTCGTTTTGCAGCTCTCAAATTGTGTCAGATGTTTTAGAGGAACGTGTCCATAAAAATGTTTATGTACAAAGCATATTTATAAATCTCTGCGGATTACAGACAGCTTCTATAAACACAGATAGGAATGGTGCCGAATTACTAGGCCGCGCGCGTTCGTGTGTGTGTGTGGCTGCAGGAGGCCTGTGAGTTTGTTTGTGGTTTTCTGCAGCCGTGCATGCGAGGTGTGTGTGAGTTGGCACCAGTACTGCAGGACATCCCTCAGTGGCCAATGCCAAAGAGAAATTGGCACAGAGCAGGGCTAGAGGCATCGGGTGGGCTTCAGGAGGGGTGTCCTCCACTACTCTGTTTACCTTTTACACACACACACGCTGTCAGACACATGCGATGGCCTCGTCACTGCTCCAGAGCTAGGCTAGTACATTTTTTACTTCTGTCTTCTTTCTTTTTGCTCTATCTCTCCTGGTATCACCGGGCGGACACAACTCCACTATGAGGTCACCTTGACCAGCTTTGCCCCCGCGCCAGCCGGGTCGCTCAATACGATCAATTCATCTGGGCTCTAATGGTTACAGATGGCAGGACTTGAGTCTCTACAGACACCTTGAGCGCTCTGTGTTTTTTTTCTTTCTTCTCCCTTCCTGTCTGTTTTGTCGCTCCTTCTATCATTCTGTCTCTCCTAATCTCTTAAGGGAGGTCCGCTTTCCACCTGTAGGGAAGAAAAATCCCAAATGAGATCGCTTTAGCATCTCAAAAGTTGCTTAAAACGACAATGTAATTAAATTTAGATTTTTTTTTGCAGAAATTTTGTGCTTATCAGATTTTTCTATTCAGAAAAAAGGGAATCT